TGAACAATATATACCATGGGATTTATTTAACTATCCAAGCAAATTTTAGACTAACTCGGCAACAAATTAACAAAACGTTGCCAAGTATGTACAGAAAAAAATGAATCAAAACTTTACTTAAATGTGGCACCCAGCTGTCAGTTACGCATCATTTTACACAAGATAAAATCTTCGTAAGAAGTCGTCTCTGCTTTGTGAAAATTGTAGCCTCGACTCTGAGCAAGAGCCCCGTGAAGTCTGCACCGAATTCGTCTTCCCCTCACGTAGAGTTGTCGAAGCTCTTGAACAGAGTGTGTGGATCTACGAAAAAAATGTCTCTCCGTTTCTCCCTTCCTTCGAACAATATATCGGCGCTAAGGATCTCCATGACGTCAAAGAAGAAGAGCTTTTTTTCCTTTTTACAAGTGGGTCGCACACGCGCGCACGCGCAATAGTTTGAAGCTCGCTCCGCGCTTCTGTAGGACTCACTTATGTATGCCACTCGACAGCGAGCTTTCTTGCCTTCCTCTCGATAGCTGAGCTCGGTGCTTTAATTGGGCTCTTCACTGACGTTGCTACGAGCTTCCTTTTCATTGTCATCTCTTGGATTACTGGCTAATTGGTTTCCATTTTATTGAACACCAGATTATCGATCTCCTCGATACACGGATTGTGCGCCTAAGACACTGCTGCTTAGACTTTTTGATGAGCTTTTTAAAGCCGTGTTTTGATGTTTTTCCATTAAAAGCTTTGCTCGTGATGAAACATAATGCTTTTTTTCTCTTCTAGACAATCCACACGGGAAAAAGGGTGTCAGTTTATACCGAATGTTCTATTTATCTACCGTACATTTTGCACATTTTCCGAAATAAACTTTTTTACTGCAGCTTTCTAGTCGGTTTTTTGTGTAGACTAGCCATGAAACAAATTTATATATCTTCGCAGAAAAAGATGGAAAATTATTAACGGTAATTTTATTTTCTCTTGTATTTCTTACGAAAAAGTACTTTTGTTGATCTGATAACAGTGCTCACGTAGGATTATTGCGCTTTTTCTTTGAACGACATTGTTTTAACGTAAAACGCTTCGTCATTTTTCTAAAGGCTACGGTATAATTTCACTTATATCACTCGTGATAACTGTAAAATTGCACGTTTATTTTTAGTGAGTAAGTCAAATAAGCCATTATACGTATTTTATCGATGCTACATAATGAAACATACAACAAATTAAGTTTTTCGCATAACTATCGAAATATAAATTAATATTAATAAAAATAGATTTATTACATTGATACACATAAGTAGATTTATCTATATAAATATTTATATTTACTTGAGGAAAAGAATAGGTTGGATTGAATTTTCTACGATTATAAAATAAAGAAACTCCTAACATTCGTTTAATTTCTCGTAACGAGAAAAATAAATTTATCTAAAATCTCACTTACGTCAAAGAGAAAAATAATTTAATGCTATACACTAATTGTTTAGTTATGTTTATACATCACCTATCCTGAAGACTATATGTATATACACGCGCATAATCATCATAATGATAGCGTGAAAAAAATATATATACTTTTCTTTCGGCACACACACATATCAGTCACAACGCAGTTTGCAATGACTGCAACAAAAACGTTTTGTCTGCAAAATCCTCGTTGAATAAATATGCAGTAAATGCTGCCGCTGTACGTTCATATATTTTTACTTCCGTATATAAATAAAGAATATTGCAATAATGTAAAAACTGTTGTGAAAAAAGCATTTCGTTTGTTATTGACCGTATAACTTTTTTGCGCGACAACGTCGAGAAAGGTTCTCTCCATTCCCTAGCTCAATTCCGCAAGAGAATTAAGAGCGGAAAATCCCTCGCGATAAATCTTGGCCCGTGATCCAACTAAAAAGGGAAAAAATTCACTTAGTTGAGGGACGACGCCGAGCGAGTTTCCTTGTTTCATGACGACAGAATTCTGATAAGGTTATTGCATAGGGACATGCGTGAATTTGCAATTTGTAAAAAATTGCTTGCCACGCCTGAGAGGTACGATACGACGACACTTGATGTTTAAGTGATGAGCTGATCCGACACGTCGGTCGTAGAGAATCTTGAATTCGTTTTTTAATATTGAATGAGCAAGTCACAAGATCTTTAGTTTTCAGATGTTCGATGTAAAAGAAAATTTATAATTAAATACAAATATAATTTCATTAATTATATTATTAAATACGAAACACATAGTAATATAGAAAATTCGCGAAATCGCAATTTTATCAACGTAATTCTATTAGTCAATTTCCACACGAGCGTTGAATGAATTCGGTAAAATATTCATATCGATCGGATATTTAATTACTTTGCGTAATTCACGCCTTGCTGTCTTTTTTCCAGATACGATGTAGCAGAAAGTAATCAGCTTTAACGAGTTTTTGATGAAAGAGTTTAATATGTTAATTTTTAACATACTTTATGCATAATATTTTTACTACTAATCAAATTGAGTGAATTGTTCGATGAGTGCGAATCTCAACTAGAGTATACAACGTCACTGCGAATAATAGTTATACATATTTCAGTGGTAGTTTCAATTAAAATTAATTTATTCAGAATGAATATGATTATAATTTTATTTAATAACTAGTTAGGCTCAATTGTTTGATTGCGAGTCCTAACAGTCTCGAATAATAGGAAGGAAAGGATTATTTTATTGTCAAATCGAGAACGTGTCGCACTCTCTTCGATCAATGTAGAACTAATAATGCTGGTAAGTTACCGACCACCGCCTTGCTGCATAATTATGTGCAGTCTCGACCTTATCTGCACCTGATTATACATTTCGATAGAAACAATTACAATAATTTTTTATTCGAATGGAAGATGATGATTCAAATATGTTATTGGTTGTTTAATAATAATTGTTATGAAGTAAAGACTTATATTGATATTTTTAAAGACGATTTCATTTTGCCTTCGAGTAAAAGCTACACTATTAAAATCAATAAAAAAAAGGTATAGAAAATAAAAAAAAGGTGCAGCAGTATTTAACGATAATTTCAATTATTTTTTGTGAAATTCAGAACTTTATTCTAGTTCACAAGAACGACATTCATTAACCATGACCTAGTTTTTATCCCATTATAGTTCTTAAAAACAATCGTGAAGTGCAATCCCATTATTCTCACAATTGTCACGTAATTTATTTTTCCAAAGAAAAATTGATCGTCCAACACACCAATAAAGTAGCCCGAGGTTCGCCAATGAAATTAATTTATGATGCTCGTAAAGCGATTTCTATGTAAGATTCATCTTTCTAATTTTATGAGTTCAGACTAGTCAGCTACTCCATTATCGCATGCAACTCGTTCTCACGGGTTTCGATCAGCGTTTTACAATAGCTAATTACAAGTAGACGAGTCTTATTCGAAATTACTTTGTAAATAACAAAAATAATTTCCTGTAGATGTACAATAAATTGTACATATTCAACTTTATTTATTTGAATAACAATTAACAATTCGACATCAATATTTGAATTGAATACATCTTGTTTTTCATTTATCAGTTCCAAAATCGCTTACAATGATTTTTTGACATACATTTTTAATAGTTTATCTATTAAAATTGTCGTTTTCATAAATAGTAGCGTCTTTTTTTTCTCAATAAATCTTCTAAATAAGATGAGTCCGACATTTTTTTTCGCAGTATATCATAGAATATAATTTTTTATTTTTGTCAACAAAAAATTTCTCCATTATCATAATTATTTTGGTCTTATAATATACAATATAATATAATTCATGATTGTAAAATTTATCAAATGTTTTATCAAATATCAACATTTCATACCACTCTTTCATTTTTATTATACCGGAATGAAAGTGTAATATTCACCCGCTGCAGTTCAACTTAATAGTCCGTAAAAATGAACACCGATCCTCGCAAAATATTACAGAAAAAGCTTGAGTATGTCTCCGTCGCATCCTCAAAATAAACATCTCGAAGTCCAATTTCCCGTTGCTCGAGCAGTGGAAAAAACATATCTGGAAATCGATTTATGACGAAGATAAAGATTTTTCCTCGTGACGTATGAGATGGATCGCTTATTGTCACTTGCTCGAGAAACGTTTGTCTCGTAAAAGCAAAAGACGAATCTCTCTTTCTCTCGATGTCTTGCAGCAATAGAAGCTCGCGAGTTCCAAAGCTCTTCTTTGTGTGTACTTGTGATTTTCCTTTCATTCCTCTTTCCCTTTTTTCTATACACATCTTCCTCTTTGTCTCCACCGATCTCGCCTTGCATTTATACGATTCTTTTTGTGCGCCTTTACTCACCTAGTGAAAGCTCTCGTCGTTTCCGAAAGGCCTTTTACTGGGTTGCAAAAATAATAAAGCTTTTAGGGATATTAATTGTTAGATAAGGTAAGAAATCAGAGAGGAAAGTTCCTAGAGCCAGCTTTTATAGGTAATTAATTAATTTTCGTGAACTTATTTATAATTGGTTAATAATTCTGTCTGCACGTTTATCAGTACATTTCATAATGTTCGTGAATTATTTTCTAATCATGCTTTGTATAAATTATAGTTGATATCTCAATTCTCTTGGTATAGAAAATTGAAATCGAATGGGCGATAAATGGATGCTTCAGACCCACATCAATCACAAAGTTTTTAGAGAAGATACGACATAACGCCATGCAGCTTCTCTTGAAACTTCTGAAAAATGCAGAACTTATATTCTAGAATGGTGTCTGACTATTTATAAACTGTAATTACATTGAATAAATTTCATGATAAGTAAAAATAAATATTTTATAAAAAATGAATTTTTAAACTTAATTTTTTTTGGTATCGATAAACAAAGATATGAGATCTCAATAATACTGTTGATTTATTAATTCACAAAAAATAAAAATTTTAGAATATAAACAAGTTGATAAGAGTATTTCATTTATTCATATTAATTACATAGTGATTATTTTGGATGAGTTTTAAAATGAATCACAAGGAAAGTAGTTTCACAATAACTGAGAATTATAATAAATTAATAATTGTGATGAATCTTAACGAATTTGACGTACACTGGTTTCGATGGTCTAGCTATAATCCCGAGTATCAATTTAATATCTGAGCTTTTGGTTACTGGTTCTAATTTAAAATTATGTAAAATATGAGCCAGTGTGCTTTTGAGTTCCAACATGGCAAATTTCTGAGCTATAAGCATCATAATAAATGTTAAAAAAATATTTACATAATCTTGAAATGAAATTATTGACAAAAACAATATACCAATACAGTTTCGAGGTCCTGCGCTAAATGGAACGTAGGAGAATGGATGGCGACCTTGTGTATTTTCAGAAATGAAGCGATCAGGATCATATCTCATTGGTTCAGGCCAAAAATTCGGATCTCTGTGTGTATCAACTATGAAGCATCCTATCTCTGTTCCTTTAGGAATGTTATACCCTCCTGTAATTTATAAAGTAAATTGTTAGAATGATGATATTTTTCCTAAATTGGAACATGAATCCAATTTACTTATGCACGCGTCCTCTTCTAACAAGCGTGTAACAGTATGGACAGGTGGAAAAATTCGAAGAGACTCTTTGATGCATCTTTCCAAATAACATAATTCTTGTGTATCCGTGGTTTTTATATTACACTCATTCTTATTTATGATACTTTTAATTTCTGCTCGAACTTTGTCCTGTTATTAAAATAACGGTAATCAGAAAAATCCACATAAATAATAATAAAATCCTACTACTCTTACCTGAATTTCATTATGCTCTGCCAATAAAATTAATGTGAACATTAATGCCATACCAGTTGTTTCGTGTCCCTTAATTACAACGATTACATTTTCTCATTTAATGTGTAAAAAAACAAGTATTTCCATATAAACTCACTGCAAATGTAAAAGTATCCAATTCTTCTCGTATACCTTGTTCGTCAATTAAACCATCTTTATTTGCTTTTATTAACAAATCCAGCATTGCTAATTTTTTCCTTTTACCTAAATACAGAGACAATCTAGTACATAAATTTTTATTGAAGATAACAAAAATATGATGACATATTTGAGAAAAACAGTTTACCGTTATTCATCGACGAATAGTCTGAATCTATTTGGTCGTTGTTTTCTTCAAGATCTGCTAAATATTTGTTTTCAGTATTATCGTGGTATTTTGTTCGTTCTTTCAAGACCTGGAATCAATAGAAAAATAATTTTATTATAAATTAAACAACAAAACTAATTGAAACATTTATCTAAAAAATATAGCAATGGATTAGTATGCATTGTAAAAAGTAATATTTTAACATTAAGAAAATTGACAATTACCTTATTCGTGAATGTATGAAGGGTTTTTACGACCTTTTGTTGTGTTCGGCCAATTTTCATGCAATTTAATATCCAATCAGGAATAAATGGCCTAAAAGACCTGTAATAGTTTGATAAATTGATATTTTGAATGAAAATAAAATATATAAATCACAATGAAATTACCTATAAATAACAATATTTCCAGCTGCAGTAACTGCGTCTCTATACTCTTCAGCATTTGCTTCATTTATATTATCGAGCGCAACACCCATAACTGAATCTATTCGCAAATCATATTATTTTTTTATACACTTAATCGTACGATTAAACTTGCTTATATGAACTTTAAAGTAATATATAATTTCCTTTAAATATTGAATTGTTGAATGAAAAGATATTCAAAAGTGTTGAACGTGTTTTTAAAATTATTATGAAAAAAATGGCACTTACTTACCACAAACAATATTTAGAGTATGATTTGTACATAACTTCATAAGTTCTACCTCATTTGTTTGTTTTTCATTTTTTAAATATTCTACAAATGCTCTTCCACGTTCGTTTATTGTTACGGCATATTTTTTTAAAATATTGAAATGAAAAGCAGGTGTCAAGATTTTTCGCCGGTGATGCCACTTGTTTCCTTAATAATATAATGTTTATTATATATCATTATAAAAACACTATACATCGTAGCGTTACATCAACACATGGTATATACCTGTACTAGTCAACAGGCCGGTTTCCATCCAAGGTCGCATGAACTTGTATGCAAATCCTTTTTCCAGGTGTTTTGTGCCACTAAAAATAAACTAGCAAAAGATATATATAAACAAAAATATTAAATATAATAATTAGGAAATAAAAGTTTTCATTTATAAATCGTGTTCTTTTACCTCTAAGTCATCAGGATGACGTAAAGAAATAAATGGATTTGGACCTAACCAATACCTTGTCATGGGATAATATTGCTTATTTCCATTTCGGAGTACGTTCCACAACTCATCTAGCAACAATAAAATGTAAACAGTAACAAATTCGAAATAATTGTTTTTAATAAAAACTTTATGTTCTTACCTATTGCAACGTTCAGCATCTTCATATTACCAATAATTGGGTACGTTGACGGACCAGGTATTCGGTTTATTAAATCAAAATTTTTTTTATATTTGATATATTTATATATAACAAGGAGTGTCAGCGCGGTTAGAATGAGGATAATTGCGAATATCATAGTAGAAGTGTTCGAAATAAGAGTGCTTGGTTTAACGACTCAAAAAATACTGACGCCTCTTTCGCTGCAGCCAACGATGACGTATATATAATATGGCCGATTAAGACTGTGCTTCATTTAGCACATGAGTAATCGGTTTCTACAATAACATAGAAAACACGCATATACCGAAATCGATAAAATTTATTTTAGTCGTGTACCTCTTTCATAATCATTGTGAGATTAAACTCACATTTCTTTAGGATAATACTGTTATAAGTACTCAAAATACAAAATCCACCTAATTATACTCAGTATAATTTAAATGATTGTTCTTATTTTGAGCAAATGAAGTCATGAAAAGATCTCAGTTTAAGTAACTTTTGACTACTAGTTTGGATGACTAAATTTTTTGAGTAATATTAAATAATATTTGTCAGCATTTCGGACTACACGAATAAATCACAAATTCGCTACTTGAAATTATACAGTAAGTTAAATTAAAGATAGTTACAAAATTAAATACAAAAATTCAATATAGTTCATATGATTTGTAGTTTAATAAAATTTATTAAATAAAGTAAAATTCTGTAACAAAATATTTCAGATTCAAATTTACTTGAGCAATTTCGTTTATTTTTAGACTTACTTTCCAATTACTAATTTGAAAGATAAAATTCATATGTAGAATTATAATCACTCTGACCTCCCTAGTAATTATTTATATCATACAGTCAAAATTTGGTGATATATTATGTTATAACATATGAAAATTAACTACGAAAAGTCATTTTCTAGGTATAATTTATTAATAAAACTCGAAATACAACTACACATATTCGCAAAATAAGCTTATATAACTCAAATTCAGGCTCGAATGAACATTTCTTTTGTATCTTCTAATGGAAAGGCATACTTTCTACCAAAGGATCTCGACTAGAAACTTGACTACATACAAGATATAGATACGTTCTATATCTTTTACTTCAGTATCATCTTTGATGACACAATGGCTCCTGGGAAATATTGGAATTCCCATGGAATCGCAAGCGATAAACGTGGCTTCATACTCTACTACATAGAAACTTACGTTATGAGATTATTATTTGATTTGTTTCTACCTTGAGTAGGTCTGCTTTGTAAAAAAAGCATGGAAAGAAGCTATAGGAAACTAGTATATGATCTGTCTATAAAGTTTAATTTATACAATACTCATACAGCTCAGTTTGCATGCATGTTTTTTCAGAATTTTCATTCGTCATAGGAAATTAAATGAAAATCAAAACAGCTAATTAATAAATTCATCCGCGAATATTATAATTTGAATGAAACGTATTTTAAGTTGTCATATACTGCAACTAAAGAATATAATATGATCCTTTATGATTATTCTTACATTAAATATGTAAAGGATCATTTTCTATCATCTCACGAATGTTTCTGTGCCACAGGGTTAGTTGAGCGGCTGTGAACGGAAGTTTATAGCGACGTGCTCTTTCTTATCTCAGAGGTCGATAACCCTTTCTTCCTTCTGAAAGGCTATGTCACGCGATGATGGCTTCCAGTCCGCGAATTTTCAGGTTATCGGAATCTCCGTAAGGATATTAGGAGTATGCTGCTATGATTATAGTAATAATTCAATGGAGAATTATTCAGTTATGCAATTTCAAGTGTTAAAATGGTAAATTTAGTTCAAGGAGTTTAACGTCATAGGAAAAGGTTTAATGTAATTGAATTCCCTTTTTTACAGCAAAATCACAGTAAAATTGATAATGAAAGATGTTTTAATGCTAATGAAATGACATGCATTAAAAAAAATTTTACGTTCGCTGCAAGCTACGTAGAATAGTTACATCAATATATTACTCTGATAAAAAACAAGAATGGAATTGTAATCATACACTGTCTTTTTGTTTCAGAAAAAGTCCGATAAATCCTAAGTTTCGACTACACCTACGGTGCAGCACGCGATCGCCTCATTGACCGAATTTTTCAACGAGTCCCCATACGGGTATATGCATTTTATCGTTGCGCCACTCTATGCAGCAAACTATGGAGTTAGATTTCGCGATTGATATGAAATATATCGTGAATATTCATCCAACTGACAGCAAAAGTATTGTGAATAAGTTTTATCAACGAATGTATTCAGGATTCATAGGAACATTAAAATCACAAAATATAAGAATATGACATTAGAAAGTTCTTAAAAGACACTGAATATACTATTTAGTAAAGATAACAATTTTAATTATTTGAAAAGTATCAAAAATGAAAATATAAATCTAATTTTGGACAACACGGTTCATAACAATGACATATGTTCCTAAGAAGCATACCTAATCATATATGATCATATATTAATTAACTTATTTACTTATTTATAATTATTAAAAAATCTACTGCTACATTAAGTAACACTGGAAAGGTATATAAAAAGTTTATCTTCTACATAAATGCTATGTAAAAGTACGAATTTAGGTGTCCAACTTATGAAGCACCCTACCATGTATTCTTTGTCTTTAGATAGCTAGCTAAAATATAAGTTTTGTTTTATTTAATTTATTAACTAATCATTATACAAATTTTAATTTATTACCTAAATGATAAACAATTTTCTATCGATATAGGGTCTAGTTGAAATAAAAATTTTTGCATCTATTTCAGCAATGCGTCTGTTGAGGATGGCCGGCGCCTGAGCGCGCGGCGACTGCATGTGGCCCTTGCTCCTTTACTATGGCGCACGGGGACCTCTTGTGCCGGGGAATCCCCAACTGCGACGAAGAAAGCGGCGAAGCGAACACATGCGTAGCATAAGAATAGCGATCACAAGCAAGAGAAAATGTGTTCTGAGCTCGCACTTTCCGTGACTATTCGACACTTTCCCTCCAAGGTTTCGCTTGGCTGACGCGCATGGTTACTACCTAGTACAGCCATGGCCGTACGCTACAGCTCGAGTAACGCAAATGCCGTGCGTTTTTTCGAGGCCGTCTTACCACCAGCAGAGGTCCAGGAGAATACGATTCGGTGATAGCACAAGGACTAACTCAAGATCGTGTGGCGACCTACGAGCGAAGCGGCGGTTCGAAGGAAAAACCAGTCATTGCACAACACCATTGAAGCATCGTGAAGCATCAGTCAGTTTTCTTTTTAACTGAGCGTAAGGAAGCTGCAAGGTTGTACCGCTGAATCTATTTTCAAATGTAATTTATCGAGTTCATAAATTGTTTAATGACAAGGCGTAATATCATTGCGGAAATATACCTTGCTCATTGGACTGAAAATGAATATTTAAGAGAGCTATGCAAAAAGACGTGCTTATCTACAAAATAATAGCCAATGATAATTATAATGAGTTATAACAGCCACAAAGGCGGAAAGAACAGATTCCAAAACTTATTTTCACTTTGATCTCTGAATAATCCACAGGCACAAAAAGGACAACTAATGATAAGTTTCAGTATACGTATTCTATTTACTACGCTAATTTACATTAGGAGTGATCGACGCTGCCTGTCGGTTAAACTAATAACTACTTTATATAATGGTTTGAACCGTTACTATGCTCATTGAATTCCGCTAAAAAAAATAGTCGAATCCAGCCTCGCCGCACCTCTAGAACGCGCAATTAAAATTGTATGTATCGCACGTAAAAAACGAGTCCAAGTGCAGCTCATTCAACCATAGTGACATATATGCATGTTCCGCGAGTTAAAAGCTTCAGCTCTGCTAACTTTAAGGGGAAGTCATCGAGTCCCTCCCATAAGCCAACGGACGCTTCTCGTAATCAGAAATTGACCAGGTCATGGATCATTATAACGGAGGCACTAGAGCGTGAAAGCACATAGCCGCGCCCTGTAAGCTACTAAAGTGAGCGCTCTTCTGTTTTGATTATAGCATTGCGCCGTGCAACCTGATTTGCTCGCTTTTTATGTATTCAAATAAGAAGAGGTGTGTCTACTATATGTTATACTTATGTTTGAGTCAACCATATAAATCTCCTGAAATATTTTATAACTACACGTCATTATAATTTTACATAATTTCTGTAATACCATGTACCATAGTATAACTGTATTCTGCATAATACATTTCAAGCGAGCGAGTTTGCGAAATTTTAACATAAATAACCCACTCTCCATATTCTTAGTCCACTTTTGCTACGGAAAATTAATTGGAATAGGGATGGTTTAGTAATTAATTAATAGAAAGTTTTTGTTATACCGTAACGATTTCAATGATTGCTAATAAAATATGTAATAAAGTAAAAATACTACGTTTTTTAAAATTGTTTTTCCAAAAAAACTCTATAGCAAAATTCTTGTAATTGCCATTACAAATAATGTGCAGTATTACGTTTATCTCCTATACCCATGCCAAAAATCTGTGATGCATCTCACGTGAATATGGTAAATTCAGTTGAAAACTCCGCGATATTCCGTCTTTCACGTATCACCTCTTGGCGTCTATAAGCACATCTTCAGTCTTGGCAAACTAGTTACGATCGATGCGCGCGAGCATACGTTTCATGCGTTTGTGTATACCGTACTTATCGCATAGCAAAATTTTGGATTACTCGCTTCACCTCGAGAGCCATCTGACTACGAGATGATGTATGCTCAGGTGGCAGGAATTCAAGCTCCTACAGTTATATTACTATATACTTTGTGTATATATAGCTAAGACTTTCCAAGTTTTGATTTATTGCTCGTTGTTTGATTAAGGGATAGTTTAGTTTCCATTTTGATGCATCGATGTTATTCTCTAGGAGGCCGAGTTGCTTTTATGAAGTTTAATCTTACCCCATTAAATTAACCTACGTTCAGCTTGTCAGATACTTTATGACATCAACTACGTAAAGATTTATAATCTCTTTTGGGATTGTAAGCTTTTCCTGTTCTAATTTGATTTCAACACGTCATACTTACATTGTCACTGTTCATAGAAAGCTAGAGATCTTAATTGGTTGAAAAATAGGAATTAATAGGTGATTTTCGTGTGATTCGAAAATCGTCAAAAGTAAAATAAAGTTGATCATCGTTGGCCATTTTCAGTTCCAAAAATGTACTTCTTGGAAAAGAATTATACAGGCCAACAAACAAGTTTGCCAACATTTCTAACTTACATATGCAAATTTTATAATTTTTCATTGTCACAGTAGAATTTATAGCTATCCTTACAGCGATTGATCATGCAAATCAATGTTCCCTTATTTTATATGATTCAATATAATCTACAAAGATACATTCATTATTTAGTGAAAAAATTGTTAAATCGAAAAAGCCTCCTCGAGTTCTTGTCAAGGTTCACAGGAAAGTTTCTTTTTTTTTTAATACACTTCCAACTTCTTGAGAGTGTGACAAGGTATAAACGTCAAACGCAACGGGATCAAAACATAGTCGCGTTTTCCCTCGTGGAAATACAACTAGAAATATCACATTCTCATGGGAAATCGCGGCAAACGGGTCTACGTGAAATTTACTGTGCTTATTAAGTTATTGAAGAGTCTTACCAATTAATATTAATTGGTTTCGATATATCACGGGAAACATTATGCACGTGTGTAACTATAATCGCTACATCATTTTGTTTCACTGATGTTACGAAATAATTCCTTCGAATTGTTTATGATTTCAAATTATTTAAATATCTTTCGGAATTGATAGAGTTGGCTAGTCTATTTACTGTACAAGATAAATTGAAGAATCTCGATGAATGTACAAATTATACGTATGTCATTTGATTTTCGTTTAATGAAGCCCATACGATTCTTTTTTTTTAATAACAAATTTTCACCTAGAACTGAAATAGCAATTTGTTTAGCTAATTCTTACGTACGTATAAATAAGAATGATTGCCATTAAGGAATCTGAATGATAGCTAGAAATTATATTCAAGTAAAATAACTAAATTATATTTAACTCTTAGTATTAAAAATCATGTTTTTCTAAATTTCATAATTTTGTTGATTCTTCCGAAGAATTGGGATAGTATGTAGTGACATTTTTCATTAAATTCATAAAATAAACGTAAATTTTGAGACAAGAATAAATTATAACAAACATAGCCTTTACGTTGATAATTGAGGTGTCTAATTTTAATTTACATGAATTTTTTAAAATAAATAAATTAGTTAATTGCGAATATTTATATTAAGAAGAATGAAATCTTAATTAAGAATAGCTGGTTAGAAATAAGATTAGATGGATTGCTCTAATTAATTTGAAAAGTGAGAATTAATTAATTGAATTGAATTCATAATCTAAATTTTTAAAGGAAAAACTAGTATTTAAGTAAATTTAGTGAAATAATTTATATTAAGGATTTGTTTAAGTTTCATAATAATTTCATAATTAGAAGAGTTTTCCTATCAAAATTAAAACATACTATAAATTATTTTAAAAAAATAGTAAAATTCAATTTTCAATAAATAGATATATTTTTCATAACAACAACAAGCCTTTTTATCAATCTAAACAAATTGTCGAGTTTAATATTACATATTGTTTCGTTACCAATATACTTGGTTTCGTTATATGCTTAAGTTACAAAAAATATACGATTTGGTAAAAAATAACTGTAAAAATTTGAATTTACAAATAAACATATGAATACAAATTTTAGTAAAAGTTAATTTTCAATAATCTTCAGTTACTCCGGGAATAGTTTTATATATAAAAGTTGAGTTATTACAATAAAAGTGTTATTACATCAACGTATGCTTAATCTAGATAATATAAATAGATAGTAAAGTGTTATTATAATTGTATTAACCTAGTAGTAGCTTTGCTGGTATCAACATATTGTATAATTAACCCCGAAACATTATTTATTTTTCATTTTCTCTCATTGAAATCAATTTCCCATCGTAAAGCACTGAAATATACGAATCGGCCGTAAAAAATATGCGACCTGGAAATAATAAAAGTTAGCAAATTCTATAAATACGAACACACGGCATAGTTAGATATCGCTGGTAACCGATAGTCTACGCACTATCGACGAAGTTCGATGCACAAAGCTCTCTACATACTTCAGTATTTCGAGGTGCGGGCATACGCGAAATCCTCGTGATTGCATTTACGAGCTTTAGACCATGCGGTTTAATACGCAATCGAAACTCTATACAAACACCGCATACGAACGCGGAATATCTAGTGATCAATAGTACAGTTTTTTGCCTTCGCAAATGTTTGTCCAAAACTCCAATGGTCAAGCTTTGCAAGCGTCTGCATTTAATCGATTCTGCAGAAAAAATTTTCTGAGTGTTTTGGGTGAGTTCGTTTCGGTTTACACATGGAGACCGAAATTTTTTCACTTGTACTTTTTTGTTAGATTCGAATTGAATTCTCCAGTGATTACTTGAATTATTAAATACGATTAATCACATTTTTACGTATATATATCTATATAAAATTTAACGTATTTCAAAATCGTTATTGTCGAAAGCTCAATATTCATTTCAAAAATAAGCCTTTGAAGCAACCGCAAAGTATGCAAAATATAACCGTAGCTCGTTGAAACGATTGAAAAACAAAATAGCCAGCGGACATTATTTAAAAATTTTCAAAAAAGCTCGATCGATTTTTACGGGTTGCTCATTGTACTTCAAAACAACAAGTATTTACAGAAGAATTTACAGTTTTGTGTAGAAAATTTTCGTCGTCTGGATTGACTTCACTAATCTAGTTGCTAATTTTGCTTTACAGTTGTGTAATAAGAGTTCATTCCGTATTTATAATGTGTATGACGGAAAGGCACGCGTTGATGACCACAGTAAAGTTGTTTGAGCTTACGATTTCGCGCGCACAGTACGCTGACGTGTTTTGCATGAGCAACGTGTTTAATTACAAGAGTTTTGCAGTGTTTCGTAAGTATACCTTCGTAGAAGTGATACTGGAAGTTGATAAAAAATCTATTCGTATATTTACATCGCAATTACACAAATAAGATATACTACATTACAAAAATGTGATATGCATTTCTCAATTTACAAAATAATCAGTAAATGAACCAGCGGCAACAATACATCAATATTGACTGGACGATAAGCAACATTTAGTAGAAGCTATATAATAGAGATCTTTCATGGAATTCATCATTTATTGATTGAACAGAGCACATTTAAAAATATAAAGACTTCTTAAAAGTATATCATTTGGTTTATTATTTTGACAGCTATTGAAAAATGTCTCTATATCACTGAAGAGTTAGATCCTGGAATAGTTTTTTTGCGATTAATCTGATTAGACATCTAACGTCAATTCGACCAGACGAAGGTGAAACTATCAAATGTATGCATATAAGCCGTCTTGTTAAACTTTGGAAACTTCGTACATGTACATCTAGCGGGTTTCTAATGAAAATTTCGAGCTGAAAGAGAAATTCAAGAATTAGCGTGGTTCAGAATCTGCAATCTCTAATTTTCTAATATTAAGCCCACTATTTCCTGCACAATTATCCAGAATTTTTATTATTTTTCCTTCTTTGTGATGCTCCTATAACTCATTTACGCAAATTAATTGAACAATTTTTCTTGAATTTAGAATTAACAAATAAATTTTGTGCGTATACCATGTTCTAATTTACGTGAAGAGTAATGAAATAAAATGTGTAGAATAAATAAATGTTTTGTTTTATTTGTGCCTGTTAATCAATTAAAAAGCGACACTGGGATATTGTACGGACTGTTATCCCACTATATTCCATTTACTGAAATTAAAAGCCAACATATATGTCTCTTCCAACTCGTCCGACTAAATATTACGAGAGACGTGTGAATGTAATCTCTGCCGCAAATTTAATGTTGATGAACCTTTTGTAGGACAAGCTAAAAAAACATAGAATCTCGTGCGTTTCGTGTAATAATATGTACAGTAACTTGCAAGAACATACACGAAGGTAATCCGTTTTCTGGCGTTGGCACGCTCCGGGTCAACCGAATGTATGCCTTTGAACTTTTACTTTTGAATTCCACTGCTGCTGGAAGCAAACGCAAGGCTACACGTCCGCAGAGGCGTAAAGTTTCAATGCGTTTTTTTCTCTCTTTGTGTGGAAAAAACACTGTCTGAATAGCTTTGGCAACTGTGTTTTCCAACTTCTGCCATTTGATACTTTGGACTGGAGGTGTACGGAATAATAATAAAACTATTACAATGGAAAGGGTCAACCCAAAAGTAAAGAAAATAACTTCATATTCTTCTTAACACATCGAGGTTTCGTTAAATATGTTGTCAGCGTGTTCAGGATAACTAATACGTATCATGTCTAAAACTTTTTATTTGTTGATAGCTAGTAGAAATAACAGTTATTAGTTATCCTAAAGAAGCTGACAACATATTTAGTGAAACGTCAATGTGCCAAGAAAAATGTGAAGTTATTTTCTTTACCTTTGTTATTGTTCTATTCATGGAGAGTAGATGTGATAATAATTTAACTCGTATACGCTTTTTTACCGAGTCGACTGAATATAATGTAGAGTAACCAGCAACAATTTTGAAAGTTTTTGAAATATTTACAACCAAAACTTCGGTGTTTATTTTTAAAACCTTTTAACAATTCATTGAATCTGTCAGATTAAAAACTACCCTCAAAGTTTCAAATGATGAATAAGCGAGTATGCATGAAAAATTTATCGTTTTTCAACGCTTTACCATGAAGTGGGAATAATTCCAATCTTATTTCACGTGTGTATATTTAGCAGCTATAAAGCGATTGCATATTTTTGAATGATGAAATGCGAGGGGTAGGGGATAAAATTCCCGGAGATAGCAGTTTGCTTTAACTCTCGTTGATGGTTTTTACAACACAATGAAGAGATCGGTGAATATACAAACTGTTATTTCTGTAGTTGAATATTCACCTGGTAGCCGAAATAATGACTGCAACGTTGATTAACTGTACAAAGAGCATATTTATCGGGAAGTAAAAGTCGGTTAATTACAGAGACAGACGGAAAGCTTTATTATTAATTGAGTAATACTAGTCGAGTCACCAACCGTTGAAATATTAAATCATACAATGATTAAGTCTTTCCGAGAATCTGCTAATTATATTCTCCAGAAGTCTCTTTCAGCGTAATTCCAACATCTTTAACTCTGGATGACAAAGAGGAAAAACGGATCAACAATGAGTTCGTTCAGAATGAGAAGAAGATATAGATATATAATAAGAAAAAACTTATCTCTATCCCTTCATCTCGTTCTCCAAGCGCTCGCACATCCATGCATCTAGGGAATTTTTTTTTGAACGGAAGAGCCTAGGTGCTTTTTAAGGCAGCGCACAAGCTAATTGTCGAATTGACCTTAATTGTCAGCAGTCTCTCTCTCTCTCTCTCTCCTTCGTGTAGGAGCAGCTCTGGCAGATACACTCGCTTGCTGCGTTCTCTATTCCGCTGATTAACTTGGTTAACTGTCACTTCTATGGCGACTTTCCACCAAATCGATTCGGTGGTCTTTTTATTGCATGCACAGAATGTTCATAATTCCTTTTTTTATTAGACAAATATTGAGTTTTAAAATATTCTTAATCAAAGTTCGAATTCAATCAAAAATTTATAAAGATATTAAGTCCGTTAGCTTCCAATTTTTAAATACTGATTTATTTAAAGTTTTTGCGGTAAACTAAATTCGTAATTGTATCAATTCCAAACTCGATTTGCAAACGTAATCAAAAGTTTTCATAACTAGGTTATTACTTTGGGGGTATCATCTAAATAGGAATTCGCAAGGAGAGCAAAATAAAAATTAAAAAAAAAACGAAGAAAAGTATCAAACGTCGCAATCACTCATTTATTGTTCTGTAGTCTTGTTTTCTTATACACTTATTAAGCATACGATATATTTTATACCAAGGTACTAAGTTACTTTAACGTGTGAAGCATTTGTACAATAAATAAACACTCTAAAGCATTTGTAAAACTTAGCTTTATGCTGCGTTAATTTGACGTATTTGCACTAGATAGCTCGTTAAATACAATTATTTAATCGGTATATAAATAAGTCCATAATTCAGCTTTCGCGTGCATAATGCATTCACTCGACCAGCAAATGCTATGATCAACATAAATGGACGTGAAAAATTCTGACGTATAACATTATCCGATTAACGCTCAAGAGGATCGGCCAAAGTTGCTTCGACAAGTGTAAATTTATATTTATAGTGTTAAACATAGTGTGTTCTTTTACTGAAGAATTGACAATATTACATAAAAATTATATCCATATAGATATTTATAATTTATAAGTATAAAGGATTGAAATTCAATTCGTAAGAAACTTTATATATAAACGATGTGAATGGCGCATAAATGTTTTAAAAGTACAACAATATTCAATCGATAAACATAGCTTTTCCATATCAACAAATTCTATTTATTTAGGATAAAATTAGTTTATTGTCATGATCGAATAAAATTTGTGTGTAATTATTTTGCAATAAAATTCATCTGAAAAATGGTTGTTATTCAACAATATACGTTATGTTTCTCAATACAAACTGCAACGAGTACGAGGTATACGCGATACTTTTCCGTCGTAGCAATCATTACAAGTATTCGTCGTATAAGTGCAATCGTCGATTCAAATAACCTCTCTCATTCCCTAATTCCCATTCTTTCTCTTACAATTTATCTCATTTTCTCCCATATTCGACAATATATCATGTAATTATACCTAGATTGTTTCGCATGTCTGCGCATGATATCATTGATGAAATATCCGCTTGCAGCTCTGAAGCAAGATCGACGAGGCGAAGAGAAAAATTATAATATAGTAGCTACTGAATCCGGAAAACAGCTGACGAAACTATAGTGGTTCATCTATCAAAGACAAAAGCAAAGTATACAGATTTTTCTTTAACGTAACATAATTTCACTCTTTACCACGTCCACCATTCTTCGTAAGTTATAAAACGGCGGTCATTCAAGCTTATTGTTTTACGGGTGACTTGATTTTAACATTAAAATTCACTTTAGACTGTAAAGTGTTACGATTATAAATTAATTCTAATGACAGTATGTAGATTTCTCGCTAGTAATACTCTCACATGAACGAAAAATAGATGTACATATAATTCAAAAACTTAACGATGCAACTTAACATCATTATATACAAACGAGAAAATATTATAATTGATTTCTTATTTTTAGAATTACATGATAGAGTGGAGTATACGTAGCATAAATTTACTCAACAAATAAATTATTTTATATTTGTACGCCACTGAATAATCTTTTTAATCGCAATAACTAAATATTCATAACTATAATAGCTCTTAGTTTTAACGTAACTAATTGATTCAATCATATTTTTATCGGACTTTTATAAATTAGAACTATACAATTATACAAATAAGAACACTTAAATATTATAGCCAAAGTTCCAAACCAATGATGGAACCTTTCTTCACATTACATCACTTTTTAAATTCGTTCAAACAATTAACGATCGAAATTTATATATTCATTGAAGTGCACGTTTATATGAAAAATCTATCAAAAAAACTAATTTAAAAGTGTTTAATGCAAATGTGCAGCCATGGTTTATGTCAAGATCTATCAAAAAAATATCATCAAACACGAAAAATAGCACGCAACGGTTGTTCATTATACAAATGACTTTTTCTTAGGTGCACACAGAGGTAGTACAATCAATAGATATGAACCAAATGTCAAGTGCAGATGGCATGGTGATTTATCATGAGTCCTTGAGTTCAAAGTGTATTTCCAAGTGCTCGAAACCTCACCACTGCAACTGCTAAAATAATACGGAGAAACTTTCAAACGACGATTAATTTCGAATTGATACTATTTTAAGAAGAGTAAAAATAGTCAGAAATCATATGTTTAACGATGTTTTTTTACAAATTATGAAAAAAGTTTAACGAGAGATGGGACATTTTCTGAATTAATTCTTTCAAAAATTTAGCAACCGTAATGTAGTCGAACGCTCACACGTGGAGCAGAAAAACGCATTCGACAATAAAAAGAATAATGTCCATTGATCGGAAAAGCGGAACATCAGCAATAAAAGTTCCGAAGAAACATTCATCAAAAATACGGAGTTTCAGCAATTTCTTTTTTTTTTTTTTTTTAATGTGGAGCGTAAAAATTTTTCATCTTTCTCGTCTAACATATCAAAATTTGTGGAACTGTAAAACCGAGTCTTCGTAAATCGACTCTCTTTTTTCGCCTAGGAATTTCTCTCAATCTTTCCGAAGGTTCATTTTTCTAGTAAAGCGACATTACGTTTGCGGAATTGTAGAGGATTTCTAGTTTCACCTCCTTTTCTTTAGTCTTTCGTTTGAATGAAAATGCGTGCAAAGGCGTGGAATCGTGCTTCAAGAATAAAATGCTTTTACCGCGCGTGAAAAAAAACATTTCATCTTTTACATCTTTCAAATAAATTCTTCACACTCGACAATATCTTTCATTTATGAAAATTTGAAATAAAAGAATACACGTTCGTTGTTGATTAATAACAAAATGCAAAGAACAAGTGCTGAAAAAGTTGGTCTTACCGGTGTAAATCTTTCCAAATAATGGAATAAAAATCACTTCGAAAGTCAAACTAACTAATATAAATATATTCGAACAACGAGTTTACAATGATATCGACATTGGTGATCTCGATATTCCCTCTTTAAAAAGCGCAATAAGATAGCTTGCACCAATTCCAGTTGAATGATATCTCTGCTGAAATTCGACAGGAGCATTTATTGCAACGAGTAGCTTCGCCGGCTGGCGCATCGAATGGAAAAAAAAAATACAAAAAAGAAAGAGCGCACTTTCAGATTGAAATCGTGATTAACGCTTTTTTCATAACTTGGTTTTTTTCGACGGCAAAGTTCCACTCAAGCTTGAGTGATTAATCCTCCCATCCCGTGTGAAACTTGGCCAGTCTCGCATCACGTCTAACATTTATCGATTCGTAACTCTCTTAATTGAAGACCCTCCGACAGAGCAGTAACCACAAGATACTCGTGACCATTGCTACAATTGGCGATGAAAAGGCGATGGTAGCTGTGCCCTGTGCGCAACTTTCGCGAATGCTCAGAAGTGGAAGCTTGCGTCGCCGCAAGAGATCGCGAACTCCACGCACTTCGGTTACGTGCAGATGATGTGTTCGTGACACCAGTACCGTGAACTTTTGCGCTTCAACGTTACGAGGACAGAAGGTCAGCACCATATGCGTACCAACTGCTTTCATCACGTGCACTGTGCCCACGAACTGTGTGTATTGATGTCGGTCGGCTAATGTACCTGCAACAGACAAACACGAAAGCGTATTTTATTTTTCATGTTATAAGTTTTCTCTCTGACTAGTTCAACATTTGCTTAGAGACAAATAAAAGCATCAGTGCATCTTAGTCGGATTGAAGGATTGTATAGTTAGCATTTATACTTCAGTATTTTCAGTATTTTATGAAAAAGTTTTTCTACGTTCTACACAATAAAAAATGTATATCTTAAAAAATATTTTGCTCTAAAAATCACGCAGTATAGAATCAACAACGCCCTCCACCTCTTATCGCTATTTCTCAAAGTATATTAAGAGCATCAAATTACCAATACCCTAACCAATAATAGAAACTTTGATTAAACTCAGCGTTCAATTTAGTCAGTCGGCCAATGTATTGGCTTTCCTTTAATGCCGAGACTCCTCTTCGCAGAACTTTACTTTGCTTCAGCAACTTCTGACTTTATAGAGATTCTCGCGTGAAAAGCCGATGAGACTAAGATTCGTCGAGATTTTTTTACATCTCAGTCACAATACAAATTCTTTCGCGCTCGTTCAAAAAGCTTAAAGCCAAGCCGTTACGCAACCGCGCCTCATCCAGAATGCGCGACATGTACGGAGTTATATTCGATAGCAAAAGTATTATCGAGGCGACGTGAGAGCAGACCGAGTCGATGTTCGTGACTCGACAAATGAGCAGGCTTTTAATAATTCTGACAGATTGTTATTTTATGTATAGCCAACGGTATGCGGATTTTGCCAAATTATTTCTTTCTTTCTTTGTTCGTTCAGCTAATTAACGAGATTTATGCATGGGGGTATATTCGTAATAAATCGTCGTAATTAAAATATCTAAAATAAAAGCATTCGTGTTTTTTATGCATATGGTGAAAAAATACCCGTAATTAGAGGAGATTAAGAAATCCTGCGATTTCATTTTTTATGTTTTTGATGATTTGCACATATAATAAACGCAGAATGTATTTATAATTGTTATCATTGAAACACTTTGATAATTAATAACTATTAATTATCAAACTCAATAGCAATTCGATAGAAAATCAATTTTACAATCGACTTTTAAATATTTAATATTTTACGATTCTGATAAGCTGTGTCTAAAAATAAACATGCGTTAACTGTCATCTGTTTAAAAAGCTACATAAACAAATATACGAAACGTATAAAAAAGTTAAATTTTACAAACTGTTTTGAGAGCAAGTGATGACTCAATGTCTAAATCAACTGCAAATTTGCAATATGTAAGAACCTTGATGTACATTTCAGTCGCAGAGACTCACACTGATGCATTGTCAAAAGCGTGAGCGACGAGAATAATTCTCGTCGTCACACAATGGCATAACGAGGAGTAATATCACCCAACTGGTCAGTGCTGCTTTTATATAGATATAGTTGAACCTCGCCCTTGCACCATCGTATCGCAACGCACTTCCCAGTTTAATGGACGATTACCACGTAAAGGCTGATACGCTCGCTTGAGCAAGATCACACGCGCAACTACTCTATTGCTTTAGATAGGACATAGTCCAATAGACAGACTTAACGATTTTCGATTTGGTTATATAATTCCCTTTGCTTCGGGTTACAATTAATAATAGTAAGGGATTGAGATTAAGAAATAATATTTTTCTTATTTCAATACAAACTAAGAAGTCTTTCGAGATTTTTGATTACAAGAAAAAAAGCCAATTGAATAACTTTGGCTGTATTAGAATTATTAATTTAATCGTGTTTATATTTAGTGTAAAGTGTTTTTGCAGTGATTTGTTTCAATTGATATCGATTTCTTTGTATTGCTTGGTGAGCTTTAGTTTGATTGCTCATATAAAAATAGACAGATTTAATTGCAACGTTCGAGGCATTTGTACTGTACTATACTTTGCTGAAGTTATCATTTTCATTTAATTTTTCGTAGTGTACTAAATTTATTTGATACGGAGGAAATGGACGATTATTTGTTTACAAGAATGTGTTTTTAGCAAATATGAAATAGTCCCAGTCTAGATTATTAAAGCATATTAATCTTTTTACGCGGAACATTGAAAAGCCTGACTAACAATTAGTCGGTCTAGCAAACTACATGAAAAATAATAAAAGCGGATTATGCCGAATTTCTAATGGTTTATTCAAGTTTACAGACTACGTTGGGATGATTGTTATTGGGTCTAGTAATTATTTTACATAATCTATTAGTTATATTATAAAGTGATCAAGTGCAATAACAATCTTATTATAATAACGAAAAAGGATGATAATTACAGTGTTCTGAAATAGTGGAGCGCATAAATATTTATAATTGCCCACTCTTTGATGCAATTTCTGGCATCTAAGGGCTGAAAAGCCAATAATAATCCATTGCTTTATCAACTGGTGTTGTTTACTGTATATTTGTCGTCTTATTTATTCTTGAACGTTTTGACTTACATACTTTGTAATATTTTTTTTCTGATTTCTTCCTCTATGATTTTAATATAGAACTAATCTTTATTTCCCATCGAGCTTTTGGTGGAATATGTCTTTCAAGTGCATTCAAGCTGTCAGACAGAATTTATTAGCGTGACTTAAAAGTATAGAAGTTTCAATTATGGAATTTCTAAACGTGAGAATATTAACGTACTGGCGCAATTTTTATTCCAGAGGCCAAATGCGCTGCGTGTGCCTGTCTCGAGGGTACGATGTTGATATTAAAAATGTGGAAGTTGCGTGCGTATGTGCGCGCGAAACCCTAAAAAGGATATCGAGGGAAGCGTGAAAGAGGATGAAAATCGAGAAAAACCGAAGCATATTGGAAATGAAAAAGCGCAAAAGAGAACTGTAGAGCAGAAATAAAAAGAAAAGACTACATTGAAGAGGCTTCGCGTAGCACATAAAAAATGGTAAAAAAGATATAAAAATAGAGATAATTAACAACTGTATAAAAGTTTAACATAAATGAAAAATAAATGTTTTTAATACTATTCTTTTTTCCAAAGAATTTATTCCATTGATAATTTTGATTCTGATTTATTGATTCGGAAACTATTTCAAGTAGCACTTCCAGGTTCCAAAAATAACTGAAATATGACATCCGATAAATGGATGAATTTTTGTACCTGATTTTTCCATTTATATATTAAATTTACCACCAACATAGCCTCCGACATAGCATACCATCCACTTTCATAGATCATTTCATAATATTTTTGAAAATATTATTCAGAAATTTACTACACTTAAATGTATTTTATCGAATTCGAATTTCTGGTAGTAATAACGAAAATGTAATTTGTTTTTTAAACGACTAACTACAATGAACAAATTTTCGTTTAAAGCCTTCTCGTTTCACTCTTCTTCAATAATCCTGGACAAAAAATATCCATTGTTTTGGTAGCTCGGTACCAATTAAAAATATATCCTATCAGTCAAAAGTTTGAGAATGAAATAACGAAGATAAAATCAAAGCTGAAAACAGCCCAGAGCAACGAACTGCTAACAAAATCTCCAATCTTTTGTAATTTCAATTTGCACAGGTACTGTGAGAATAAATCCTGTTATAGGCATGACTTTTTCGAAGTTTTATTGATCACTGTTGCGAATTTTTGTGCACATAGAGGTAAGCCAACTTTCCAATTACAGTTTTTTCTGCAAATGATGAAAAAATGCCTTGTTACGTGGAAGTCACCTGTTTGTTGTAATGAACTCCGAATGATACATAGAAACCAAAGATATTTTCATTTTTTAGTCATTTATTAATTATTAATACTTGATGGATTATCCAAATGAGCACCATTCAAAAACATCAGTTTTAAAGAAAACTATAAATAGTTCTTAGATAAATAAAGTCATTGGAAATTTTTAATTTTACTTTATGTAAAAAATTTTTAACTTTTATATGTAATTGCAAGATTTACAAAGGTCTATTATATAAGAGCTTAAAAGATTTATGCCAAGCTTAAAAATATTCACATATCACGGTAATGTTTGCGTAAAAGAAGAATGTGCTTTCCTTGATGTACAAGAAATAAAAATTTTATTACAATTTGAAAAACTAGTTCACGGCTTTGGCGTAAAGCAAGAGCCCCAAAATCCATAAAATCTATTTACAGCTGTCGATAAACTGCGTAGACTATCGGTGTGTTTGGTGTCCCCTTCTTACAAATTGATTACAAAGTACGTAGTAAAGGTTCACGCGCTCCAGTCGATTACTCGCTCGAGGGACTTAGCCGTTTTTACAGATTGGTTCTTTGAGTTTGCTTTTACATTAAAGTTGAGACATCTCTCTCTCTCTCTCTCTCTCTCTCTCTCTCTCTCTCTCTCTCTCTCTCTCTCTCTCTCTCTCTTCCCTTGAAGTTGTAAAAAAAGTGAATACTTTGGTAATTGAGAATACGTCTTATAACACTGCAAAACTATTTAACAATCTTTTTATATGATACGGTTAAAAAGTTTCCTTTACGAGTAAAACGTTGTTTTATTGATTATCATAGTATTTTTGAGTATGTGTAGCTGAGTATTATTCTCGAATATCGACAAAGCTCTTTAAATAGTTAAATGTAGTTTGAAATTTTCTGACTTATACGGAACGATCCAATAAATAAACAACATTTAAAGCTAATAATCATTTACATAACTAAATTGAATACAATATCGAAAGGCTTCTCACGATTATGCTAATAAGAGTGGCTATGCATCTTGCTGAAACTTCACATTGAACACCGTTTGTTCATAATGCTTGTAGCAGTTTAAGGGTCCATTACACAGGTTTTGTCATAAAATATCAAGATTAGAAATTCGGATGAGAGTCTGGTAGATGTTTATAACTTTATCTGAAAAATATGACTTTTATGAACTTTCGCAATGCAATCTTTATTTTTTATGCATAACTAAAAAGTTGTAATTCGAGCTGCTAATTAAATTTTCAATTTTGATTATTTTATCTTAAAAGCAAATGCTCTGAAAGATTTCTTGTTATTTATATCTAAGTTGTCAGTTGAAATTGAATTCAATTTGATTACAAGCTTGTGTCTGATTGCCTGTAACTTTGAGCGGAAATCCGAAACAGCGTGACGTCTTATCTATAATTGGCTCGAAACTACCATCTATCTTTCTCTATCTCTCTCCAAAGTTCCGGCATAATTGCCTGTTTAGATTCGTTGTCAAGAACATAATCCCCAAAGCAAGCGATCAAAAAATATCGATTTGACATGTTTGTTGAAAGTTTCTTTTACAGAACCGATCATTAAATGCATTTACTCCCCGGCCGACTTTTCAAAAAGTTTACCAAATGATGGTTAATACGAGGAAAAACTCACATGACTATGGATAATCATAATCGTAGCAAAAGGAAGGTTGCCATTTTAACTTGGTACTGCACACAGGTTAAACTTGATAGTGAAGTAGTTTGGCTTAATATCTGGTTTTGTAAAATGTTTGGGCTATTAATTTTGTATTGCAAAATAACTTCGCCTAACTTTCAATCAGTGAAAATAATTAGTATTAAAGCAAAAGAAAAAATAGTAATTATAATTATAGATATCAAAAGTTCTATACGTAATTTTAAAATTGAGAAACGCTTACGTAAAATTAGACAGTTTGATCTTCTGATTTTCTTTACTTTAAAAACAAAAAAACGTCGATAATCCACGAAATTTTCCGTTGTCTATGCCGGTTTGTATTCAAAAACTGCATACCTTCCATTATTTCGTCCTCCTTACCTTCGACTTAGTTCCCTGTGCTCTTCTGGTTTTTATTTTTTGCTGTATGACGTGGTCCGCGATATTTCGGCCGGAATGGGAGAACTAATCTACTCAGACAACTCGATCGCAGGAAAAGAAAAACGCTGATAAAGCCGAAGAGACTTCACGTGGGTTATCGCTTTTTCCCTTGCGCGTTCATTCCCTTTTTTTTTTATTTTTTCTTTCAGATCGGAAATTGACGGTTACTTCTACGTTGCAGTTGGCTGTTAAAGCGATTAACGTACTTTCGGGATGGTTTATTAGTTGTGATTATATTGAGTGTGAATTTTTTTGTGAGATTTACTTTCAGTAAAATATCAGTAAAACAAATTTCGTCAAATTATCGAAATAAAGTTTGATTAAATGTAAAATAATTTAATTTCAATCCATACTAAAGGACAAAGAGTCACTGATAATTTCATCCCGAAACGGGTTATCGTTACCAAAGTACTATCGGTAAATGCCGACTACCGCATAATGATCCACCAATAAATCCCCTCACACATATTATGAAAATTGATCTTCGCACATAAGCATCGATTGAATAATAACTTGCCACATCTATGCAAGTACAAACTACTCACTCACCGTTCTGGATGACGTCGCAATTCCAGATGCCATTGCCGCGAGTCTTGCCAAGCCAAAAGACGTATTCGAGGTTACCCAATCGTTCTTCCCAGAGTAGACTTATACGAGGTGGGCCCTGTGTGTCGAGGAGCCGCAGATTAACCACTGGACAAACATCGACAACGTGAAATCTAGTCGCTAGTTGCCCGCCACTATTGGTATCGGCTGTCGGCGGCGTTCGCGTGTCAGCTTTGTGCTCGATCACCTCCACTACGTACCACTTGCCCATCGTCTGTAAAACAAACAGTGCGAGGATCGCTATGTAAATAAACATTAAACCCGAGTAGTCAATTATCTTTTGTCGTTATTTGCTTATTGTCGCATTTGCGTTTGCTGTCCCTGAAGAGGGGCTACAGGTCGTTAATTGCGCCTTCGCGTAGTTCCGGTTCAGTATGGAATGCCCTATAAGTGTATGTGGTTGGTGTAATGAGATAGTTTATTTTGTAGATTGAGTGCTACGTGACCGATGCTTCTTCAGCTGCTGAAATGCATTAATTTATGCGTGTGATTCGCAAGCGAATAATTCAGCTAATGGATTCTCTACAGTATGAGAGATCCGGATAGTTTATTCTTTTAGCATTTATTAATAATACATTACGTCAAAAACAGACAGAGGGATAATATTTTATTAAAATTAATGATCGAACGCATGCATGTCTCAGCTGATAGGGTTTCTCGGCATGTACATATATATACATCAGGGATGGAATGTAATATTTTGGGGTTGACTGATCGAAGGAGCTTAAGCCTGCTTCGGTGTGAAATTATGATGGGAGGGGATCAACCCAGAGCCTGCATAGCGAATACTCAATAACCTACCATATACAGCGCTGAAATGATGTAAATTTGGTGGAGTGAAATTAGAACGAATCTACTGTATTATATACAAATCTACGTCATAGTCAACAGCAAATTATCTATATTTAATATCTAGTAGCAATAAAAAACTCTAACTCTCCGAATGATACAAACTCAACAGTAACAGACACAGGAACATCGATACTTCGACTTGACGAATATAGACGCGAGCTCGGAGATATCAGCGAATCTTCTTTTCTGCAAGGTTACGTTCCAAGCAAGATCCATCGTATATAGGATATCCATTTATATATCCCGAGACCACGGACGCCCGTATCCTGTTCTCTCACTGCACAAAGGCGCGTCGTTAGAGACACCAGAGATATTCCAGAGAGGATACGGCCAACGGAATTTATGTGTGCGCGGCACACCTCTCCCCGTGTCCGCCACCAAGCACACATCACGCCTTTTGTTTTTAGAAGAGGAGGCGCGGCTATTGCGTCGCAGCACTTCTTTCACAAGGATTTAAGTTGCGAACGTGAGGCTATTTGCTACAATTGTTCGAAATCCAACAGCGGAAGTAAACTTTTCGCATTGACAGGTTTGTTTCGAACGATTAATAAGCAAAGTCGAGTAACAGAGATAAAATAAATCGAATAACACGTGCATCAAATAAAATGTTTTGCCTGTAGCACTTAATGCTTTCTTCTCTTATTTTCCAAGTCTCCCATGGTTATGCGTCAATTTTACGACCTTTGCACCGAAAGACGCTGAGCGTGTGCAGATGGCAATTTATAACAGGTCAAGTGTCACCTGCGGGAAAATCAGCTCTGACTGACAAGTTGCATGCGTCCAAATTTCCGTTCCAGACTCCTGAACCTCTATCCTCAGACTCCTCAACCTCCTTGAAAAGTACCAAATAAAATTTATTTGACGAAAGCTAGTTTAAGCGATATCATTCACGAGCGATATAAAATGCACTGACACAAGTCGAGAGCTGAGATCGCCTAGTGACGAAAAGAGATTCAGAGTTCTTCTTCCGTCACAAAAAAAGCTTTATGACAAAACGAGATATTCAATTCTTCAAGATTTCTCGGGAAAAATTGAAAACATCGATTAAATTCCGTGAAATAATTTTAGAAGGCCCAAAAGATCTTAGGAAAGAAGCGAACTTTATTTTTTCTTTTCAAGAAAGCGCTCCGTCAATCCTATCGTGTGCGTTTCATTTTCAATTAAATTGAAAGTAGATTTTCAGCAAACAGTACATAACTGATTCGTATCTACATAAATTATCATTATAATGAAAATTTCAAACTTTTAAAAACTCGTTTTCGTCATTTTTTATTTCCTCAATTTTCTCTGACTTTGTACATAGTTACTATCTTCCCTTTCTATCTGTCTGTCTGTCTCTCTCTCCCTCTCTCGTGCATCATAATAAATTAATACAAATAAGTTAACAAATAAGCGTAGTTCTGTTCATCTGTTGCCTTAAAGTAATCTTCCGAGTAATCCTATTACTTCTTTTATTTTCTTTGGCGATACACCCGAATTCAATCGGGCTTTTCACGTCTAAAGCTAACTCTTTCTCTCCCATGCTCGTTTTCTCTATATCTTTACCTTCTCTCCTCTTATTTTTTTATAGTACGGCGCGAATCTTTTATATAGGACGTTAATACGAAAAAGACGTGTGGTATCGACGTGTTTCATTTTTCTTTTCGTGGCTTTACGATGTTGAGCTTCCAACTTTGAGGCCCTTGGCTTAGTTGACGGTCTTGCGAATTGAATTTCATTTTTTCCTTCCAAAAAACTATCGCAATACAAAAATGATTCCTGTAATTGTTTGAAAATATCAAAAATCCACAAGAGTTGTATAAAAGATAAAATTGCTTCTTCGCGCTTTTATATATTGCGTAAAATATTGATGGAATTTAATTGGAAATTGCTAACTTCATGTATCAAATTTTAATGTAGCCGATCGATAGTAACGTTTAAAAACTGTTGAATAAATAGCTTACAAAAATATTAATTCTACATTGATACTAAATCGACGACTAACATTAATAGACAATTTAGGAATTTTCAACATACCCATCACAACAATCTCATTACTCTAAGGAATTTAATTAAACATGAGATAGGAAATTCGCCATCGCACAGAACTATAATCAATCCCAATTCGCTACTGTTCAGTCACTTGGCAATATACGTATACGTTGAATGTTGCTGTGCTGCACGTACGTATATTCGATGGGATATTAAAAATCAGAGCACACATTCGAACTTCAATTATTCGAGGTTATTGGACTGCCGGTCCGGCCAATAGGAAGATTGACAGAACAATTGCTGAGCGTGTCTTTCGCTTTCATAGATGTCATTCAAACCAGATAAAAAACGTATTGGATTTTTTCGGTGAAAAAATCAATAGAATCTAAATAATCCTTATTATATGCTACTGAAATGTAAGTTGAATTATTCTTTAAGTTACAACTGCCTGACATATGTAATGTAGAAAGCGTGAGTTTATAAGGTTGGTCAGTTAAAGGATAACATTCAAACTCACCATATAACATAATTATTATTTATAGTAATTTTGTAAGACTTATTAGAGTGAATTTACGGTAGATACAGTAATAAATATTAAGGTTGAAGACTGAAAGTATATTAGTCGAACATTGATAAAGTTATTTAAGCTAAAAATCAAAATCTTACTGTAAGTACTTTAGTGTACGTGTCGTTTTAAGCTTACAAGATATGAGTGTATGTATATAAAGTTGTGTATGGAATAAAAAATAATTTTGCGGATCACGCGGAATTACAAAAATAAAAATAAATAAAAAATGTTGTACACGCACATTAAACTCAGTAGATTCAATCTCTGCACTACACATATTAGATTTTCATGTAAATTTATTGCTGATACGTGACGAATTTACGAAATTCGACAACCATTTTTTGGGAAAAAACTAAAAAGTTAACATCACCCTGTAATAAATCGTCACTCAAAAAGTCTAAGTACACTCTAAGTGGGAATTGACATTATTTAAAGATTATTTTTCATTTTTTTAATGAAATATAATATACTTGCTATAATGAGTTCAATGGTAGTATATTATTCCATCGTAGCATCATCAAATCCTCATATCCGTCTAAAATATCTACGATTAGAGGTCGAGAGAAAAAGGTGCACTGGACGCGAGATAAGCCTTAGCTTCTTGTGCAGAATGGTAATCATGAGATTTGACTTCCATAGACTAGAACTCAATTAATGTAACAATTATATACGCGAAAACTATGCGTGTTTCGAAGCCACTTTCAAGAGATTGAAGTGTACACATTCGCGAACGCAAGAGAAATGAGATTATACCAGTGGGTGTAAAGTCGCAGCAAAGCCGGCAGGATCTCTCGTAATTTTAAATTTTCTACACCCGCGCGTACTGTTTGCAGTCGCCTGCGAAGCTGATGATTCGACTTGGAATGGTTTGTAATTAACCTAACATTTATTGATAAATGAGAATAGCGAAATGACGAAACTATGTTTGTCTGACAAAACGCAAACTATTACTACTGACCAGTCTAATTATTCAGTACGAATATTCATCAATCGTTAAATAATACCTATTTTTTCAAAAATCTCATAAATAGCAGTAATAAAATGAAAAACTGTCTGACTCTCAAGTGACAAAGTATAAATATAAGAATTCGGAGCATTTGCAATCACGAACAAAGAGAAGACAGAAATGTCAAGGGGCCATTGCGAATGCAATACAGTAGCATAGTTGGAAGCGTGTCGGATAATTGGTTCAGCGTCAAAGGGATACGTCTGGCACCACTGACTTTTCCATTAGTAGTTCTGACGATGTAACGGTTTGATAGTAGACCTGTCCGAATCTCTCACTTTGATATGCGTGATACGTATTCTCTTTATCGGAACGATTATGGTTGCGTTAATGACCAATATTGAGAAATTGTACGAGAAAATTCAGCTTTTCACTGTTGAAATTCATGTTCGCTGTTGTAAATTTATACCCGCTGTATGTACTTTACTATAGTCTTTTATCCCGTTATGCATTAATCTTGCTTTTGAAATTTGTTGGGGATGTATCGTCGTATTTTGGAAACCAAATATTTTCAAATCATTTCTATGAAAATTCTTTTTATATTACGTTATAATATCCTGGAATATTATATCATTTTATATCAATATAAGCAAACGTTAATGATTTTTTAAATTCAACAAGCCGGTTATAATTTACGGCTAACGACTAGGATAGGAGTATGAAGTGTGTCAGTATGGCAGAGGTGTAAAAGTCATATGAATAAATATAAAAGTCCAAGAAATACGACGTAAAGTAAATATTTCATTTAAAAAGATCTACGTATTATAAAAGAGAACGAAATTAACGTTTTATTGGAAAAGAGTGATGAATGATGGAA